TGAAGAAACAAATGAAATGTGTCATTTACAGGAATTTGATTTTTTTCATGTGATTTTAGTGCAAGCTGTCACTTTTCCAAAATGCAAAAAAGCCTTCTGGGAATACAAAACTGTTAATGTGTATTTTTTGTCATAATTTTGGGCGTAAAACCAGATTTCTTAAGCAGAAAATTAGTTAGAACCCCCCCTCCTAAGCACAAGAAAATAGCTCTTACCCCCCCTCTGCTATATTAGAAAATTGATTTATCCGACGTTAACTGCTTTCCGGCTCGGCATGGGTGCCTACTTATTTTTCTGGACCTGATCTAGTTTCCTCGTCTCGCTTGTTCACGAGAAATGACTTACTTTTAATCGTCCAATGCTATCAGGTTCTACAGTACTATCGCCAGGTACAGTCAGGTAGAACTGTAGAGCTGAATCTGTTCTCAAGTCGTTTTTACAGCCTACTAACAGATAAGGTACGCCAGGACATTCCTCTTTAATCTCAGAAACCCACTGAAAGAAAAGGAGTACTTCATTGAGGCTAATAATACTATTTAAATGAACACAGATCGTCTGGAAATTTGACTCGACTGAGAAAATGGACTGACAGCAAAATTAACTCCAAGTTTTCCTTCCGACATAAGTGGACGGAGGAGAAAAAGCAGGAGCCAGCAGCCGAATTGTCATTTATATTTTTTTTTTCTAAGTAAATCCCATTGTTCAGAGAACATAACAATTCTTTTGCATAGATTTTTTTTATTTCTTTGCAAAATTATTGAATATGAGTTCAAAAACGTCTTTACAATGGTCAGTTACAGTTTCATTAGCTATCTATCCAAAGTTAGAATTACAATTCTTCCTCATGCATGTAAATTAAAATTAAAAAAAAATTTCAACGAATTTGTTGCTGTCTTTATGTCTTTACAAGTGAACAACGTTAACAGGATGGAATGTGGCATGCTGATAAACAATACGCATTTGAACTGGAAAAAGAAATTTACTTCCTACGAAAGATGTTAAGTACCTTGTCAATAATACTTTGTAGCGACGAAGGATTTCCAATGTCAAAACACAGAAGGAACACGTCAGTCTCGCTGTACATACATCGTCGTATACTCTCGTAATTCTCTAGTCCAGAGCAATCACAAAGCATGAACTCTAAGCTACTGTCCCCTGTTGTAATATCCGTCACGCATTCGTCGAATATCGCACTCTCTTCTGCCTACATACAGATTAAAAACGATAAGACAGGGGTTGTGTGTTTGATTATTGGTACATATGGTCTTGATGGGGCAGACACTATGCTACTCGTTTTCTCGATAAAAGTACAACAGGAGTATAAACAGCAGAAGAAACGTTTATACTGATATTTATATATAAAATTTTTAATATAAATTGAATAAATTGAAGAAAAAGGCACGCAACTTGCAACTATTATTCCTACTCTTTATTTGAACGTTTCGGCACTTCGGCCTTCTTCAGCAAACTCATATATATAACGCGCGCTCTGATTGGCTGACGACCGTGTTTATATCAGAGGACAGAGACACGGCTTACCGGCAAAATTTTGTTTTCGCTCGAAACATTTTATAAAAKAAATATAAAACGGCCGCTTGTGTCTCTGTCCTCTGATATAAACACGGTGGGAGTTGAAAAACACTTGAGAAGCAAGAGAAACACTCGCTACGCTCGTGTTCCTAAGCTTGCTCTTCTCTCGTGTTTTTCGAACTCCCACCGTGGTTATATCAGAGGACAGAGACACGCGCGCCGTTTTATATTTCTTAAATAAAAAAATTACGTCGTCCAAAAAGGGGATTTGCGTCCGCACCCAAAGCACCTCCCGTGGATCCGCCCCTGGACTGATTAATTGATTGGCTGGTTCTTCGGTTGTTTGTCTGGCTGATCGACTGATTGATTGATCTGGATGGCCGGGTTGGTTAGTTCAGTTTCTTGGTTGGTTTGAGTTATTGATTGATTTGATTTGATGAACTCTTTTTACCTCAAAGTCGCTTTTCACAAGAGCGTTCAATACAATACAATACAATACAATATTTTTTATTTTGTGTCTTAAGTACAAAGATGATTACAAAATTTAAAATTAAAACTAGTTTACGACACATGCTAATTGTAACAGGTAGACTGATTAAAAACAATTAGCAACTATGTTAAAGTACAATGTAAGGTCAGGTATGATTGAAGAAAATACAATAACTACAACACAAAAAGAAAACACAGAAAAACGAGAAAATAAATGAGTTCAATAACGTTCAGTAACGACGTTTTGCCACACTCAGAGTCTCCAACGACGGTCAGTTTATATCTTTCTATGGAGCATGCGCAGGGCTGTTCACGTGATTCACTTTCAGATGTCAGTAGTACTTTGCTTACACTTTGCTGAAAAAACAGAATGTTAAAAATGGTAAATATCCTGCTTCTTGATTTGAAATATAAAAAAAAAAAACAAAAAAACAAGCAAACTAACAAAAGCTATAACAGTAAAACAAACGACTAGAAGGCTATAGCAGCTATTCATTGTTCATAATGTTGACTTGACATTGATGATGGCATCATTTAATAATGTTCGAGGAAAGTCTACTATAAGTCATACACTTTTTAAATACGCTTATCCAATGCCACTATGTTCACAAGAGCAGACAAAAAAACACTTGAGCTATTTTTAATTATTTTGCGCTGAACTTCGCACATACTTGGCATTTGAAGCAGACGTAATCGCGAAATTGCCATAACACTTGCTAAACAAGTATTCCGCAAACGGATGTAAGGGGACTATTTTTGGGGGATGTTTATTTGAATTTTAATATCAACAACATCGGTAACTTTAGACGCTACTTAAAGATATAGCGCGAGAAGACACAATAATAAGAATGATGAAAAGTTGGCCATTCGCAAATATAATAATTCTTTGATTTCTAATGACAATGTAGTTAGAAGCAAAAGAATTCGCTACAATTATAAGGTTGTTTTTAGAAAGATTAATTTAATTTGCACGTTTTTTGGAAAAAGAAATCATGAAAATTGAAGATTTTATTGTGCGATTTTTCGGGGCTCATGAATTAAGCAAATGCTCATTAGGTTTTTAACGACGACTAAGTGAGAAATATAATAGAGAAATAGATTTTCAAATACAAAAGACAGCAATTTCTCGTTAACATGATTTTGCTTTGGAATTACTCACAGCTGTTTAGTGTGTTCGCTTTACTATAACTACAAGCATATTTTCCCTTGTAGTTTAAAGTAATGAGACTAAATTTGAGTAAAATGGCATTCTAACCTTATGGATGACATCTGGTAGGCTGGCGGTGCGACTGTACGACACAAAGCCTTTGATCATCTCTCTATTTCTACTCTTCGCTATACTCTTTTATCAGATACAAAATCATCTATTGTCAACAACTTCTAATTGTAACCCTGATCACAACACTTGGTTGTTTATATATTTCCGCGAATAAATGGTGTCAGTTGAGCGGTACTCAGTATAGTTCATGAAGGCACATATATCACTCGATATATTCAGTCAGATTAACATCTTTCTCCGCCAATATGCTAATATGAATGACTGCAAAGAAACTTTAATTGGCAGAAAAGTGTAGAAATCATTGGTGGCCAAGGTAACTCTACTTCCATGCGCGCGATTTTCCAAATAAAAGTATATGGCTTCATTATTTTACATATTCCAAACTGAGTCGTTTCTCCTGACTTTTTTACCCTGCGTCTGGACGAACCAAAACTGTAAAAAACAGCTTTGATACTTCTTGGGATATATTGGATAGCTATTAGCTATTAGATCCCATCTGGCGACCATAATCCTTAGCGTTCAAAGAATGTTTTGGTGTGACGTAATTATGCGATAGAGCAATTGAAACTGAACACGATAGAAAATTAGATGAAGGGAATACTAACGTAGGAATTAAATTATTCGTTGCACACTTCACACAAGCAGGCGTCAAAAACATGAGGTGAGTAAACATGCAAGATAGAAAAAAATGAGTTCCCATTTAACCATTCATAAAATCCGGAAAAAAACATCAGACATTTTATCTTGAAATGCGACAAAGACTAAATACCTGTTAACGGATCCTCATCAACAATAAATTAATTTGGAAAACCATTGTTCGAGAAGAATTTATGCGTGAAAAATACCGTATTTGATGTAACTGAAAAAATACAAAGAATATCATTTCTACAAAAAAATATTCAATTCTATCTCATATAGGCGCACATTACATGATAACGAAAACATATCGAGAGTAGATCACTCGCAAAGACTTCTGGGATAGATGAGAGCTATTAATAAAAGGAACCGATTAAAAACAAGATTCACGGTTCATCAGCCAATCAGAATCCAGATTTATGAAGGAATGGTATTTGACCTCTCCTTGGTATAATTTTCGTACTGTAATAATACTATGGTAGCGTCTTTTCTCAATTTCTTTCGTATTTTCCCCGTAATCTGATCCTTTCGGCCCTTGACTAAATGATATTTTCATATCATTACAGACACCAATATTTTTTCTACTGTCTAGCCACATCATCAGATGATGGAGCTCACTTCAACAACATCTTAGGGATAGATTGTGTGGTCTGACCGATATAAATCCAAGATTTTTTAGCATATTAAACCTTTAAAAAAATCCCGACATTTTGTGATGCTTTATTACATTGGCCATAAGTAGGGAGAGGAAGCAGGAAAAAGAAAAATCGATTTGCGCGCAACAAAATGCAAATGGAATCGTATTCAAGAGAAAAGTATTCATTTGTCATATATTTATCTACGAAACACCTATATTTCCCCATGACGTAAAGTTGTTACTTTCACTAGTGGAAATAATTACACATTCGTGCTAACTCTATACAATGGAGGTAAATAAAAGGTTAAAAAAAAAAAAAACATAATTTGCTTTCATTGATAATTATATGATAAACAGAATATTACATGCTTGCTTGGAGATACAAATTTTATCTTCTCGTGTGGAAAATCTCTTTAACTCGTTTGCTACGCTCACTCGTGAGAGATCTGTTCAATACTCAAGATAAAATCCGTATCTTTGCGCGACCATGTAATAGACTATATATTACTTATTTTGTCAAATTGTTGGCGGCTATACATACATAAAAAAATACGCAGATACATAGTCGTGGTTTTCGTTCTGTTGACGTGATCTTTACGGAAGACAATGACTGATGGTATGACCAATCTACGATATCGTACGTGCTTTCATTCAGGCTACCAATTGACAGTGATAGCTACAATCATAATAGGTTATGCATGGAGTTCCCTCAAATCACCTGTAGTCAATTTACATCTTATAAAATATCTAATTTAACAATGTTTTGTTTATTTTAGAGTAGAAAAAATCATCGTTTGGCCTTCAATTTCGTAGCTAGAAGCTGTATCACCTCAGTGGAACTATCATTTGGCGATAATTGAGGTATTAAAAGATCGACTAACCTTGCGTTGGCTCGTGCAATCTTGATCGTTCAACAAGCTGTGTTCGATGAAATCAGGCTCAGTGATAATAGGTAAAGCATCGCGTCTTCGCGAAGAAGCCATAGAATGGCGGCGTACCATTAGCACTGAAGAGTACACAAACTACTGGCCTTATTGATATATAAATCAAAGTCGCTTTTAAATAACTCCAACGATTACTATTGGATCTATTCGCGAAATGCCACTGTTGTAGTTCTCTCCAGAGACCCCTTACGTCTTATATGTATCAAATTTTCTCAGTAACGACCCTAATCCTGAAATACTTTGGTATCCAAAATGTCAACAAAGATTTCTAAGTTGCTTGGAAGCTCTGACAGTTTACTGAGCTCTTGAATGAGAGTTTGATCCTTTTGAAGTCGCGACGCCAGATATACTGATGTCAAAGAGTAACTATGTTAAGAAGTGGATCCATTTTGACGCTTGATTGGCTGAATACACTAAGCGCGCTCTCGAATATTCGCTTCCGGTGCATTGAGCCATGAATGCAGGCTATTATATAAAATAGATTAGAAGAAAGCTTTGAGCATTATTTAACCAATTATTACAGAGCAACGCCTAGATTATAAAGCTTTAGTCAATTCCCAATGGCCGTCTAAAAGTTTTAGATTTGAGTACTAAATCGAGCGCGTTTAAAGTGTGCAATTATAATATCTTAATTGACATCTGAAATGACCGATCAATTAAGTTTAATTGTTCTCGAGTCAGTGTTTAGTAAAATGGGTGTCATTAAGAAATAATTGCAASACAATGACTATTACACAGYTGAYCAAAACGCCGTCTGTTTATGGCATTGTAGAGCTGGGAACCTTTCTAAAAAAAACTAAATGTCCCAATGAAACAATTTCTGTTGTATGCCGATAATCTGCTAGAAAGTCCATCAGTTTGTGCAGTGGAACTTGTGTAAACTGTAGCAAGTAGAACTTCTCAGACATTTTCCATGTTTTTATATTGCTTTTGTGGAGCGTGATATGTTGAAAACTACAAGCTCTGATATGTTTTCTAATCAGTGAAATTAGAGACCCGGTTCAATGTGCGTCATTGCATTTTTTCGTCGTCAGGAAAAGCGCGTCAAAAACTTCAGTTGGTGTCAGATTCGTTCATCGCGTGTCTTTGCTAACAGTTCCACACGAAGCGAGCGCAATGTAAACCAGGGTCGCCTTCCGTTTCTTTTGTCATAAGTTTAATTTCGTTCACAATTAGTTGAAGTTTAATCCGGATAGGAATTTGATGTCGGCTTTCTTTCCTATATATCATCCCTTATTGTGCAGATAGATGTTGAACATATTTGTACTATTAGTATTGTCCGCTGACATACAATGCCTGCATTAGCATATTATCGTTAAAGATCTCATTTCAGAAAAGCTTGAAAAAACTTTTTGCCAGTTTTATTCAATCCTTCAGATCTCTAGGTGTTCATGAGAAAAGTATAAATTAGGAAGAGCGCACCAAACACAATCACATAGAGAAAACTTACAATTGTTGAATTTAAAATTATACTTAAACTGGTTTGTTGTTGTTTTAATTTGTTCTTTTTTTTGTTTTGTTTAATTGTCTTTCGGCGTGTTTCAGTTGCTTTTCAATTGTTTTTGATCGAAAGAAGGCTTCTTTGATGAATTCACTGCGTTTGATCAGGGAAGGAAAAACAATAATAATGATATAAAAAAGCACTTATTTATAATTCTTTTTCGGAGGTTTCAATTTTCCTTTCTTTTTTTCTTTGTGAGGGAGGGTGGGTCAGACGGGAACCATTCTAACATCCAGTGGGGCCCATCGCGCGTAGTGCAATTACATCAATTACGTCCGCATTCGGAATCAAAGACATGAGCACGCTAACGTAAATATCTCCGACCCAAATAAATCAAATCTTTAGATACGGTAGTCAGGCTGCATTTTTTTCGCGCAGACCTCCGATTAAATCAGTTTTTAATATTTTTGTCGTTGGAAGGTGCGACACCTAAGAAGCGTGCCAGACMAGCGGCGCTAACCTTAAACATGTGTTCACAAATGTACGTAAACATTTTGTAAGGTCGAAGAAGAGAATTTTGAAGTTTTCTCTGCAACATCTGTACGATTCTGCAACTTTGACAGACGCTGATGACACAATGCATGCAAACGTAAATTAAAACTCAAAATTGATGCTAGCCCGAAAAGGATACTATCGATCGTCTACGTAGCTGTCATCATTCAAAAAATACAATATCCGATGTCAAAATAACAAAAATACATTCCAACTGCAAAAAATTCTGTATGGTATTTGAAAATTACCTTTCTAAACATGATCCTTGTTGTGACAAACTTTTCTCCTGAAGTTGATCAGCTCCTCTCCGACCAGTGGCTAACCTAYTTTCATGTGHTTTGGTGCCGTGTAAGATCTTTTTGTTATATCGCATGGCAGAACAATCGCATTCAAAAGTAGATTAGTCGTCACAGTCCATTTAGTCGAAAAAATAATAGCAGTAACTTTAGTTCTATTTTTCTTAAATGTTCAGACTTTGACCCTTGGCTCGTTTCCGGTAGCGTGGGTGTCGTGGGCGAAATTCGTTGCACAACTTTATATACTTAATTGAATGTGAATTAACTGGAATTAAAGTGCATTGCCGAGAACTAAAACAGTAACTTTATCTATATTTCAAAATTTTCGACTTTGAACTCCGGGACCGCATTGATAGAAGCTGCTTTTGGCATGATACAGGTGAAGATTGAAGTGCAGGTGAACTTGAACGATTACGGCGCGTCTTATATAAACTATAGTTGTAGTTGAACCTTTCTTTTGCTATACCTATTTCTAAAATAAGACAGGACATTGAATAGTTCATTTTTGGTTGGTCCACAGTCATTCGTAAGCAAGCAGATAGTGATCGTGCGTGAACTTAGTTAAAACTTTCTATTAACCAAGCCCTGTTAAGAAAAATTGACTAGTCACTTTCAAAGCAATCACTGACTGCATATCATAGCGTGTCATAACTGAATTAAGTTCAGGAGACCCCTGACAAAAACTTCCTGAAAACATACCCCACAATTAATCCTAGGCCTTGTGCACATGTCTTAAACAATTTGCTTAAACCTCCTGCAAGAATCTGTCCCTGCTTGGGTTTGGACTGGACCTTCTTATAGACTGACCCAGTTTTAATTCGGTGATTGCCCAGGGGTGACTCGTGTTTAGCAGTAAGTGGAAATATCCTACATGGACTCGTTTAATGGTTTTATAAATGGAAACAGATGCTCTAAAACCATCACGACGAGAGAACTTCACGTGGTCATAGAGTAGGTACTGGAAAAGAAGTTGGACATCAAGTCATCTTATTTCACGCTTTAATTGCATTTATAAGCGAAAGAAGCAATTAGTAAACGTCATTATCAGAACTTAGTGGTAAAATTTCTGACCTTAATGAATTGATATTATCAGTTCTAGCTGTTTATCTCAGTTCTAGCTGTTTATGCCTAATAAAATCGGTGAAACTCTAACCAATGTTCAGGTTCGTAATCAAGTCAGATGATCATGGGTTCTAGTACGGAATCCACCTAGAGCATAAAAAAAACAATGCAAACGAACAAAAAACAAAGCAAAGCAAAACAAATCAACAACAATAAAACAGTATTGAGTTCATGTTTTGGAATCAAAATATACTTGAATAACAGCAATAAAAGACTGAAAAAAACAAAAAACAAAAACAAAAACAAACAAACAAACAAACAAACACCTAACAAAACAAAAAAGATCGTGACACCAAAATGGAACCCCATTTTCCAAAATCCTGAATTCACCACTTCGAATGAATTACATTAATTCTAATTAATTAGTGCATTATTTCTTACTAGTGAACATAACACAGTGGAATCTCTAGATATACTAGAAGTAAATAAATTCACTTAATACAAAAAAATTGATTTCCGTATGAGCAATTACTTAACAATTAATATTTCCGTTCTTGAGGCAATTAATAGACGACTACTGACTAGAATATTACTGCGCAACATAGAATCACCAGGGAAGGGAGGCTGAGAAATGATTAGAGACTCAGAAAAGCTAATTACGTATGTAGCTACACGAGCGACAATGCTGTATCGATGAAAAAAATCCTCAAAAATACTTCTTATATTTACAAAAAACATCTCAAATTCAATGTTCAGCTTTCATCGTACCCGAAAATCGCGTCGCCTGCGCAAGAGAAAAATCGCTCGTGAAAGGTGGCGTGATTAGTATTTATAAACCCTCACAACTTATTAAAAACACCAATTCCCTATACCATTTTTTTGTTGTTTAGTTAGTTAGATCTTACACCTCTATTCATTGACTAACTGGACTTTGCTACTCCTCTCCCCTTATTTCAAGTTATATGTTAAGACTAAAACCCCGTCTGGATCTCTAGATTCTCAACCTCCTTTCCACAGGAAACCTATACTCCGCGCCAAAATAAAAAAAGACGCCAAACTTGTTATCGAAAAGTAACTACCAGGAGAGAGCACAATTATAACCACTGCATTCTCCCAAGATGAAACTAGACATATCCACCAAACCAGTACTCTGTTGTGCTATCAGGATCTGCCGTTCCCCTGAATTCCCTGCTTGTTTCATTTTTGTTTGCACAATACATCCCAAAGTTCCTTTCATTGGGTGCAGCACCACTTGTCGCATCAAAATCGCACGGGTTTTTGAAAGTGTTGACGTGAAAAATAGATGTTTGGTTGTTACTTTGCCAAAATGGCGCTGTGACTCCTTCTCCAATATTTTCCCTCACGTTGATGTATTCGATAGTYTTACATACAGCATTACCCGTGAACTTTAAGATGTTAATATCTGAGATCTGAGCGCGCATGTAGTCAGTGAAATCAATGCCAAATTTAGAAAATCCTGTGCTGATTCGAACATGCGATGAAACATTCGACAAATGGTACATTTGACTCAATGGAAGTCTATATCTCTCCCAGTTAGGGTTGTTTTCTTGCAGAGGGACGTTCATAGAAAGCTCTTTCGTGCAGAACTCTGGCATGTGACTCATCTTGAAGGCATGGGACATGATCAACGTCCATGCTGAACGAGGCTCAGAGGTAAAGTCACAGTAAGCTGGGAACAGGTTTCCTTTGTCGTCAGTAATTGTGAACACGCCATTTTCGCTAAAGCCATCTTTCAGATAGGCCAGACAATCGTAGTAGGTCAACTAAGGTGGAAATAAAAGTGACACAATATCATTTTTGTATGTGCGCGTGCAATTATATCACCAAATAGATGTAAGTGCACACTGGTCAAACATTTTGTAAAGCTACAAGGTGCGCTATTTCTGACTGGCGTGCGCAGTAATCACTCTTAATTCGTTTCTCGAAATCTCACTCATGTAGGCATTCCGTCTTTGTCATTAGTTTAGCTCGAGATTCCTACTTCTCTTGCGTTTAATTTGAAGTCACAGCACCAGTCTCTCCCTCAACTACCCTTATCTTATTCATTGCTGGTTTTCACCTTAAGCGGTAAAATTGCAGTAATTTCATTATACCGAAAGCGCAGTGTTCTTTGCACTAGCGACGCTGAAAATGTTGTTCCGTCTACATTATTGGTGAGCTAGAGCTATGACATCATTTGTAACCAAGGGCGGATCCAGCTGAAATTTTAAGGTGTGRAGGGAGTTGCTAAATGGTATTAAGGGGAATAAATGGGCTTTATTTGTTATAAACATTGAAAATAATGGAAAACAGTTAAACTTTTATGCTCGAAGGAGAGGCTACAGCCCCCCTTTGGCCCTCCCTGGATCCGCCCTTGAAATCTGAGCTACACTAAAAACCAGAGCAGCCGCTGTCCATACTATAAATTTCTTTGTAAAATTCAACCATTTTGATTGTAGAATATTACAGCTAAACCGTTAATACAACTACGTACGTAAACTAGCAAATTCTACAAATTTCAATGTGGTCTCCCTTGATTTCTTACTAAAGAAGATTTAGAAACTCATTTTCCCAGTTCTCAGGAATCATGTAATATCATTAACATACCTTAGGTGTATAGTGGTTGAAGGCAGCATCAGATACAATCGCCAATGGTTTAGTTTGCCTTGTTGCGTTGTTCAGCTGACACAAGTCTTGCTCACCAGGCCCTCTCGGTTTGTAGTTGTATGACTCGCACTTCTCTACCGACGTGCAAAGAAAACTGCAGTCGATTGGTGTGGTCACGTGATGAGTCGAAATCACGTGGTCTTTCAAAAATGTGCCTAAAATGAATGTGCCAAATATGTAAGAGGTAATTTTGCGAATGCAATTCGAATCCATCCAGTGGCCATACGCTAATCCGGCATTAATTTATAATGATAAACATCAGAAACATAAAAAAAAGAGTGTATATCACTAGTAAATTTCCGAAAATCCAGTACTACGGATGAAAGTCTAAATTAGATAAACTTAACGTCTTAATTTGACTGTTATGGCCCGTTTACACTTGCGATTTTTGAAGCTCGATTCTCGGGCAATCGTCGCGCGACCGTACCATGCATCGCCTCGAACATGCTTGAAAATTCGGACTGCAACTTCGCGGCGATTTTCCGTCGCCGCAAAAATCGAGGGCTGTTTACACGTACGATTTCAGTTCTGCGGTTCTTGCAGAGCCACATTTATTATTCATAAGTGATAGTAGTTATGTAACGCAGGGCCGGGTGCGTATACAGGAACAAACACGAAAGTACTCAATGAGATAATAACAACCAGGGCTGATGAATAGAACAAACATCTACTTTAGATAAGAAGATTAACCCCTTTTACGCTTTCTCTTTTAATTTCATGTGGTCATCGAGATGAAGAACGAAAAAAGAGCTTTGATAAATCACTGACATTATGGCCATTAGTCGGCTCGGATAGCTTTCACAGCACTACTATGGTAGTATTCGTATTTTAACTGCATCAAATAATTGCGAATGTAAAGGAAAATTAACAATTGAGAGATACTGCTAATTATAAAGCAGAATGACTCGAAGATATCATTATAGACTTATAGAAATTCACTTACAAAGTCGCATTAGTCAAAGCTTTGAGAAAATCAATGAAAATAGAGCCTAAAAAAACATCGTCTAATTTCACATTTTCCTATTTTCCTATTTTTCCATTTTATTGATTTTTTTATTTCTTTATTCATTCTTTTGAAACTTTTGCTTTTCAGAGATGGTTCTGTTTTGTTTTCTCGTTTTTTTGTTTTCTTTTATAGCGCGCAGATAGTGCAGTTTTCCTTGATCGACTGAAAAGAAATGCAACATTCATCAAACAAATGGTTTGTTTTCATTTCGCATAAACGTAGGCATCTTTATAAAACGGTGCCTCCGTCGTCCTTAATTTTGTCAATAAAAAAAGTCCCTACCTTTCTCCTGGTAGAAAACAACATCTTCTTCCATCATGTTTCCTCCTATAGTACACCAGACACTAGCAAGAATCACTACAAACAGTTCTAAGCTTTTGTTCTTCATTTCTGTAGAAAGGCTTTAGAGATTCAATATCATGCGCTCTGATCCTAGTACAGCAGACAAACTAATAGACAGTGCCAGTTCTATAGTGGCACGCTTTTACTTTTGAATTTTTATTTGTGTCCTAAAACAAACAGGTGTCCCGGCCAAGTCATATATAGCAATGTTAGTATCGGCAACTAGCCATGCCCAGGCCGGGGGTCTTTGAGCAGGCCGACGTAAAATATCAATATTAAGCCCTATTGCGAGCGTCATCTTGAATAACAATAATTCAAAAACAAGGATGCCCAGACGCAACAATGAGAAGAAATGTATAGACTTTATAGTTTTGAGAATGTTATTTCATATACCATTATATAAACATTATTCTGATTGGTTTTCTACTGGCGTTGCCATGGTCTAAATCATGGAACCATAGTGCGCATAAGCGACAAGCAACTATCGCAATGCCAAGATCATTATTTCCATTTTGTTTCGTTTTATATACAGCCTATTTCAATTTGTCTGATAAAATGGCGAATGTAAATTGTCGAACGAAGATTGCACGAAAGAAAGTAGCCATGGTTTTTGTTAACTGACTGATGTAAAATAACAACTTCACTGATTTATACTGCAAAATAGTCTGTGGTGAGAATGCAAGATGAATTCAATAAGTAAAATCGAAACAGTGTAACCATAGTACCTTTCGGTTGTGCATTCTTCTTTCGACAATCGCCGTTCTTTCCGACAACGTTTTTTGAAATAGGTGTATTATACAGTTTTGACTCGGTGGCTAGTGAATATATCAAACCAATTAGACCTCTAATGTTCATGAAGTACGACTACTATCCTCGTAGTATACAAAGATCACGCTCTCGGAGTATGTACGGGTTTTTAAAAGAGAAGGCATACTGCCATATTGTGCTCAAGTAATTTTGCTTGACAGAATTGGCCGTCTACAATGCTCTTAATTGTATTGTTTGTGAAATAAAGCGCATAGTATCATTACTAGAGATCTCAGAAATAAGAAGAAATTAAAAAAACCCTGTTGTGCGCGTGATTTCTTGAAGGTTTTTTTCAACCATAATAATCCACAGGCAGCCCTTCAAAGTTCTTATATTGCGAATAGAGTTGCCAAACTCATTCAAAAATGAAAAAAAAAATCTAGAATATTGAAGCATAATTAAAGTTTCAGAGAAAGCAGTTTTAGCATTTGATGATTAATTTTAAAGGGACACTGTCAATGGATGACATGCGCAGTAACGGTCTTGCCTCTAACGGACTTTGAAAGTATTACCTTCGAGGTAAATCAACATGTTTTCACACACTTTGGAATATTCTAGATCTGTTTACGTTTACGAGTACTTTTTTATCGTGCGTCCGGCCAACTTGGAGTCGTAAACTTGAAAATACTAGCCTAATGTTTTCAAGTTTACTCGCGCATGTCATCCATTGACAGTGTAGTGTCCTTTAATTCCTTAATTGCCACTTTTGATATTCAACTAGACGCTCTTAGAGCGTGAAGTCGTGCTAGCTATTTTTGAAAATTGAGAAAGACAGGATATTACATAAGTGCGCGTATAGACGAACGAGTAGATGGTTTTAAACACGATAAGATTATGATGTTATATTCTGTCTAATCATATGATTATATATGAATGTAGATTATGGCGTAGAATATATATTTTTTTACTTTTAATACATAGTGAAAGCAAAACGCGTTACTTTCACTCAGTAATTAATTAAAGTACTGTTCAAAATTCTAATTGTTTATTTACACGCTACGTACGTATTTACGTATTTACACGCTCAGTAATTAATGTACTGTTCAAAATTCTAATTGTTTATTCACACGCTACGATTTTCTTTTTTGACGGCTTGCTGTAACGACGTCAAAACGGTAAAATATGGTAAGCATTGGTTGGCCGGCGCTGTAGCGTCATTTACGCATTTACGCACGTGCGTACTAGAGGCAAGGAAAAATTAAAATGTTGTTCGGGATTTTTATATATAAATAAATAATTTAAAATATAATTGTCTCGATGCCCCTCAAAAGGCCGGAAATCATATTTCCCATAGTTATTTATTTAAAATTTCCTATGGGAGGACCCCTGACCTCCATAAATACTCCCGCCCTCGGTGGCGGTCGTTAGACTCCCAATCCAAAATATGTGTCGCGGTCCCTGATATGTGTGTACAACCAAAAGGTCCACTCTACGCGCCTGGTTGGAGAGAGCAAGCAAAGAAAATTGTATAAAAAAATCCCGAAAATTGTAATGTGAATAATTAATTTCCTTGACTAGTACGCACGTGCGTAAATGCGTAAATGACGCTACTCGCCTGATCTAATAGTTCTTCCATATGTTTCCATAATATTAGTAAAAACTCGCGATTCAATCTTCACATGACAGCAAATTAATAATCCTGAAATGACCTGTTTTAAGTTCATTTTCTATGACAACATTTTTCGCAAGTAGGTTTTATGTCTCATTTAGATCCCTTGGAGATAGCAGTTACGTCTGGAAATCCGGCAAATGTTTAGTTTTAACTGAAATGAAGTGTCTAGCTTTGATCTTGAATATAAATTGATATGTTTATTTACTAATCTGAATCCACACCGATAAACCTCTCAGCCAGACACCGGCTGTCTGAAGTAAAAATGCTAACAAAACAAAATTCAAAAGAAACTGAGAAAAAAACTCTTAAATATGAAATATTTTTTTTACAGAAAAAAAGTAAAAGGGAATTCTTATGAAAGCTGAGGGGTCGACGACAAAAAAAAATTCATTTCGTTTTTCAAACAAAATACTACTTGAAGTTGTCGCATAAAGAAAGGAATCATTTTTTATGAATATTTATATGACATCGAAGACATGACGTTCATAACTTTGATTGGCTAAGAAACAATAGACTCACTTTATGTTCAGCGGACTGCAGTCAAGCGTCAACAATCGATGGGGTTTCTTTCCTTTCGTGTACTTATATTTAACATTACTTATAATTAGACAGTTCGTGAAACCTTTAGCAGTACTATCAAAGATTATCGACGTACTTAGTATTTAATCTGTTGGGGTTGAATTATTTATGGCGCGAAGATTGATTGTATAACGGCGAAATGAGCAATGGATGAAATATTTATCGATTTAAATTTCTTGACCGAGTCGGAGAGAGATCAGCTCCAAGATGTTTTGGCTAGAGACGATGAATTCCGTCGACAGGAGAAAAAGAGATTAGGGTAATATAAAATGTTCTATATTATTATATATATATTTTTCATTTTTGGTTAAATGATAAAATTGCACGTACGCCGACCCGTTTGTGAGATGCATCACAACTGTTGCTTCGATGTGTTTCAATTACTGCGCTGAAGATTGCGCTTATAGAACCAACATCTATTATTATTTTTAGTGATTTAAAGAAAGAACTCGAGACTGTTAAGAAGTCCAGTGCCATCAAAGTATCTGAAACTTCGAACCTTCAACCAGGAAAAGTTTGTGCAAGATGTCATCAGACGTTTGGTGTAGTATTCAACACTGGGGCTTTTTGTCCGAAATGCAAAGCCAAAGTGTGTAAATCTTGCCGGGAAGTAACTCAGGGTTCGTGGCTTTGTAGTCTTTGTGCCAAAGTGAGGTGGGCTTTAGATTTACTTTATTGTTGTGGACTACATTTGTTATCACAATCTATTGTTTTCTTTTGTTCCTTACTAAAATAAATACTTTAAATTAAATTTTGAAAAGTCATTTGCTCTTTTGATCTTTTATAGGGCTTTTAATCTAGTTCGTGTATCATCATCATGCAATGACGGAATTTTCTCGATAAAGTAACTTAACTAGTGTTCTCTAGAAAGTTAGTTTGCTGCGAGTAGTAAGAAAAGTCGTGATATTTAGATGATTCATTGAAAGGTTAAAGGCTACTTGACTTTCAACTCTAATTACGTAGCTTCTAATGTTTATATGCCAGTGTAAACACCTGTTTTGCATATTTTCGCTATAATACTGACAAACTAGAAATTCTGGATCATCCGTCACTCTTTGTGTGTATGGAGAATGCTCAATTCTAGTTCCACATTCAACAAACTAGAGAACAAAAGAAATTAATTGTAATTATCTGGTTCTCAATATCACAGATCAAGAACCGGTACAGCGGTGTTTTAATAGTGTATACATAGTGAGAACGAAAAACACAAAATGTAAACAAAAACTGAGCGGTTTTTATTTGTTTCTGTGTGTATATTATGATTAACTATATTTATCATATAATTATCTATGAAATACCTATATTTCTCCATTTCGTAAAATTGATATTTTCACTAGAGTGAAAATAACACATTCGAGGTTTCTCTTTATAGTGGAAGTAAGAAAAAAAGGCATTTTACGACATAATTTGCTTCCATATGTAATTATATGATAAACAGAATATTACATGGTCGCTTGGAGATACGAATTTTATCTTCTCGTGTTGAGATCTTTTCAACACTCAAAGATAAAATCTGTATCTCCGCGCGCCCATGTAATATCCTCTATATCATTAATGATAAAGGTAAGCTATTAAGTTAATTTATTAAATTATTTTATTAAAGTTAATTTTTTAAAGTCAATTTATCAGTCTATCCTATATTCAGAGAAGTCAAGGCAAAGTCAGGGGCATGGTTCTTTGATCAAGTAAAGACTAAGAGTGAAGCCCGGTCACTATTTGGGACGTCACTCATTAGAGCATCTCTCAAGAGAAGGAAGTTTAGCTCAAGCGATTCATTTGGTATAAAGTATTAAATTTTACTAGTATGAAATTGGAAGAAAATGGAAATGTGGGAAATAACAAGCCGTGCACTTGAGTAATCAAATAAGCTGCAAAGTGTTATAGTCATTCTGTGAAAATATTAGACTAAGTCATGTTAATGGCCACTGGAAATAGTCACTTCTGCAATTCCCTGGAAATTTTTCTCTCCATCTGAATGTATTAATTAATCTGAAATTTTATGCATTGAAAAAATGTATTTATATTTTTTAATGTGAAGGCTGTTAGAGGGTTTCCTATGGTGTAAGAAAACTGAGGGCTTGTGTAGACCAGGTTCTATTAAGAGGATTGGAGGAGGGGGAGGGGGGGGGGGGTGGCTTTAAGTCTTAATATTTATTTTGAAAGACTTTTATCTGTAAAGGAATGGGGATTTTATAGTCACTGGAAAACCCATTGCACTAATTGCCCCTGATTTACAGGTCTATGATCCTGTATATCCTAATGTAGCTTTTAATGCAAAAAATTGCTCCATGTCATCCACAGATGAAATACAAACACCTCCTGTCATTGGCTTGCACAATCATGGCAATAACAAACTCCATCGACCAATACCCGTGCACATGTCTGCCATACGAGAAAGTAGCAATGACAGTAAAGACCAGTCACGACATAACCGAGACCAGATAATGAATGAAATCAACCAGAACAATTCCAAGCCATATTCTAAAGCAGTGCCAGTCAAAAAACAGCTTCATAGCAGCTTTAGTGACAACGAAGACAGGGAGAGTGCTGGGGATTCTGGGAATTCTACACCAACTAAACTACAGTATGATGACAGTGAAGGTATCACATGATCACAATTCAGTGCAAAACAACCTCATTCCTTCATGAAGGAAAATGTCTGGAAATGAGGTTGAAGTTGGTACTTGAATATCTGATTTCATGAAAACACTCTTATTCAGTAACTGGTACCATTATCTCAAAAATGCATGGTTTTGGATTATAACAGTTTTCCTAAATTCCAGCCAAGCCATTTTTAGCTGAAATATGATCATTTTATTTTTGGTTGAATGGCAGACACATGTATCATGCAGAAATCCTTGTTAATTTGACTGCATTCTGAATAAAATGAATGAATGAAATGTAAGTCAAGTTTTCAAAAATCTGTTTAGTGGTCTCAAAACTATGCTAAAATCTCATCTCACAATAATGTTAACTAACTCTATTACTAATTGGCAGTGGGATGATTTAGTGAACATCTGTTCGCCATATTGCTCGAGCTTTTAGGATATTAACAAATCCCATTTTTAAGAAATAATTGTATTGTGATGTAGATGTATAGTCACAAAAGTACTCCATAATTAGCTGTCATTCAATCTGGTCATGTTTAGATTTTTCCTAGTAAGTATATGCAAAATGAGGCGACTACATCACGATCAAATATAGACCAAAGATTGAATCACTCACAATATCTCAATTCATGGAGCACAGATGGAAAATAAAACTACTTTTTTTTAATTATATTTGACGTATAAAATTACATGCATTTCAAACTTAAACAAAAGCTCATAAAGTATTATGGTTTGGCATGACAATAATCGTTTTGTTTTATTTCTTAAAATCATTAACATTGTCTTTCTCTTTTTTTCATTCCCAGTGATTGTGACCAAGAATGATCACAACATCAGTGAGGAAGAAAAACAAAAAGACGACAAAGAAGTATTTCAATTTCTTGACAGCATCCACCATGAGATGAAAAATGATCCACCAGATCAGTCACGTGATGTTTCACGTGACAGGCAGTCATATGGCAATGATGACGATGTTCAAACTCCTGAAACAAGTCTAGAGTTTCATTCTTTGCCGAATGAGCTTGAGCAGCCCGGCTATACTAAGGTACACTGTTTAGTTATCACCCATATTTCTAACCGTTAGGGCTTGGGTACAAGTCCCTTATTTTGCTTGATGATTAGAGAATACTAAGTATGAAAGAAAGACAACATTGTTACATACAAAATCGTAAAGTTTTGTTTTAATCGGATCAATATGGAACGGTTTACTTCTTTTTGAAGATAACAGAATTCAAGAATAACGTATACCATACAATCCAGAATGAAGCATCTGTCCGCAATTCATGCATTTCATTAAAAGCTCTTTCATCTTTGAATTTCTACTTTCGGAGAGAGAATATAAATAGGTCCAAATTTGCACGATGCTAGCACTGTGACGTCATATTGAAATAGGGAGGTTGAGGTTTCAAATTTTGCATTATATCACACTATTTCTAATTCCACTTATGCAGAAGTAAAATGGACGCAAATCTTAACATAACAGCAATGATAGTATAAAAATATTGTACATCAGACTATGGTATACACTTATTTTAAAAAACGTTGTCGGGGAACGGCGATTGTCGAAGGGAGAATGCATGACCAAAAGGAACTATGGTTGCACTGTTTCGACAACAAAATTTTACTTATTGAATTCACAAAAATGGAGACAAAATAAAACCAATTAACGCCACAGACTATCTTAAAGTATAAATCAGTTTGTTATTTTTCATCACTTAGCAAAACCCATGGCTACTTTCGAGCAATCGCCCTCAACAATTTACATTCGCCATTTTTATCTCTTTTAACCTTTTTTGAAATAGGTGTATATTTACAGGTCAGGTTTCTATTCTTTACACTGTAAAATCCAGCAAATAAGACAGGAATTTTTTAGAGTTCAGAGTGGTTTTGTTCTTAATAAATTGCGGTGTGTTCTGAACCCACTTCACTACATAAATCATGCGTCACGGCGTAAATATGATGTTCCACAGGATCACTTAAAAGTGATGAAAGCGTCAGAACGATCAACATCTATTAGTTCAGTAGATTCTTACCGTACAGCTGAATTCCACACTCCGACCGAGACTCCAGGGCACTCTGACTTTAACACTCCAGTACAGTCGTTGCCAGGTAGCGATGACGAGTCTGATTTCCTTGATGCTCACGATGCTGCAACTCCAGTACCAGAGAGAGCTGATGAATGTAAGTTTTGATTAATGCAGATATCATGTACATATAACAAAACGAGAATTTACTAAAAAAAACTTATAAGAAAAGGAAAGGAAAGGCATAAGGGACTATGCAATAATTACCAGTAGGGGGGCCGTAAACCAGATTTCTTAAGCAGAAAATTAGTCAGAACCCCACCTCCGAAGCACAAAAAAATGGTCCTTCCCCCCCTGCTATATTATAAATAACGTCGAACCCCCCGCAACTATTAACCTTAGTTATAAAACAAGCACAAGCGAGTCGAGTCAACTGTAGCAACCCAAAATTCACTAAAGACGAACCCAGATACAAGATCTAAGTGTAAAGACAAAAACTTTCAGGAGGAGCTGACAAGCAAATGTGGTGCCCTTTCTTCTTTCAAATAATTTTGTTCCTGGCAAAGGTTGTCAAGGTCCAAAAACGACTTTGATATTACTTGTGCTGGTTATGTCTAATAAATCATCAATATGTTTTTCAGCTTCTACATCTTCAATTTATGTGAAAACTACATCCTCAATTTATGTGACAAAATTGAAAAGCAATAGTTGGAAAAAAAAATTATATCTTTGGTCAATTTCACTCATACATCAACGAGTCTTTGAATTTAGATTTCAATTAGTCAGGCGCGTAGCGTGGACTTTTCATGCACATGTCAGAGACCGCTGCATATATTTTGGATCTGGGGGTCTAACGAACTCCAAAGGCGGGAGTATTAAAGGAGTCTGGTCCTCCCCCAGAAAATTTTGAAAAAAAAATTCAAAATTACCCTCCTGGTAATCATTGCACAGTCCCTAATAAGAGAAATGTTTTTATTTTGTACTTAACGCAACATACAGATTGCTTTTAGTCAAAAAGCGTGAAACATTAGTTATATGCATGTATTTCATGCTAAATCTTCTGTTTTCCTTTCTCAAGTATCCAATATTTTTGCACAATTTGTTGATTACACTACATCACGCTTTATACTGAAAAGCAAACGAAGTCGTTTCTTTATACCTGTTTGCCAAAACTTGTACCCAAATAGAAATAAAAATATACAAACGAAATTTCAAACAAATTTTTCTTATTAACTTAAAAACACTTTTTTTTAGCTGAGTTTCAGGAAAAGTCACGCCGAAGTAGCAGTAATATTTTTATGAACTTGAATAAACGGTTTTGAAAATGGGCCTTTATGCTTTGTAATTTTTATGATGCACTTCATTGCTAATATCGGTGTGCATTGTAGTCCATAGTTTACCCCAAGATGAGTATTTACCTCAATCAGAATCAGTRAGTATCAAAAGTTCGCTGTCAGTCATATTTGTTGCTCTTTAATAAGAAAATGTCTGTGATGTTTGGACTTCTGGTCAATAATCACTCATCATACTTTAAAATCCCAGTTTGCACCATTATGCTTTGCGCGCCTCTGTTATTGTTATGATTTACACCAAAATACTTCTAGTATACAAATATCACGATAAAACGAATGTCAGATGGTTAAAAACTCTAATATTAGCGTTTAAAGTGATTAGAAAAGTGAGATGGTCAAAGATTCGAAACGCACAGTACAATTTATAGACTTTTGGTAAACTGAAAATGGCCGCCTCCAGGCCCTCGTGGCTCCCAAAGCATAATGGTGCACACTAGGCCTTTCAACTGATTGTAAATATCTTATAGCCTCAGGTCATGCRACAGCAACCCCAAATAGATGTTATTCCTCCTCAAATAATAACCACAGCTGTAGAGGACCCTACTGGTGGACCCCATGTCACTGATGATAATGAAGAAAACCCCGAAGACATCGATCAAGCTTTTGCTTTTTATGGCTCCAAAAGTAGCCTCTCGTTTGATCGATTTGAAATGGTAAGTCATGTTATTTTATAAACAGTGCTTGGCCTTCTTCTCACACACGGCGCCGGTGGAACTTGGAGACCACATAAAAATCTTTAATTTCCGAAAGGCAAGTAGCCTGAAATCAAAATATTTTTTTTTTGCAACGCGAAAATATTATGAGGCGTGTAAAGTATCCTTGGTAATACCAGGCCTTTAATCTATGTATCGGTATTTGCTTAGTTTGCTGAAGAAGGCTAAATTGCCAAAACGTTCGTATAAACGGAGTTATCAAGCTGCGAGTTAGTGTTTTGTCTCGTTTTGTCGAACGCTATACTACTTATAACAATAAATTAGTTGAAAGCTCGGGCATTACGCTGTGACAGTTGCCCGCGGAAACAAAAACAAATAGTCGCCCGAGAACGAAGTTATTTAACAGTTTTGATGTGGCGGTCTATATGCACTGATAGTACGTGGCGGGAACTATCTCGTCACGTGGTCGACTATCCACCAATGAGAGCGGAGAAAAAGTTTTTGAATTATAATTATCGATATTTGCTTCTATATACAAATGTTTATTTTTTTCCCTACAGGGCAGTCGAGAAAGTATTGTCAGTTACTATAGTGATGCCGGGGAGGGTCATTTTGGTAACATCCCGGTTACCGGGGAAGTACAATTTGGTTTAAAATACGATCATCGCGCTGGTAAACTTGAAGTACAAATCCACCGTGCGAGAGACATAGCGCCTGTAGATACCAAGAAAAACAAATCAGACCCGTAAGTATGAATTACTAAACTTACAAGTATCTGGATATGAACGGTCCAGTTTTCAACTCTGTTTTAGAGTATATTTAAACTAGTGAATTAGCATATTTTTAGTTTCAAATGTTTAAATATCGGCAGAGCTACGAGGACTTGTAAGGCTGGGAAGGCCTCAATACTGATTTTCACTCAAACCTTTGCAATTTCAAACACTTGTAATTTCTGGTCCGTTTCTGAGCATTGATACTTTTAGATCTTACCCATTATAATGTGATAAAATAAATAAAAAATAAATCGACTTTTTGACGGGTATAGTAATTATACATTAAACCAACCCAGGCGTTACGATAGCCACGCCCTTTTTCATATGGTCTACGAAAAGAACTCTAAACCCCTTTTTATATGAGGTACGGTAGGTAGTACGTAGCCTATGTGACATCCGAGTTTTTGCGAGAAAATTCCGGCTGTAACACATGCCTGTGTCTAGTAGTTTCCTTGCTTTCGTTTCTTAAAACCAAAGAGTTAGCCCAACCACTTAAGGGTAACTTACCTGCTATGCACCTTATAGTGCATGTTCCCAAGATCCATTCATTTACCCTTTTCAAAACCAGTGCAATATTTTCTTATTCTAGTTATGTCAAGGTCTATTTACTTCCAGACAAGACTAAAGGAGGAAAACGTAAAACAAGGACAAAAAAGAACACGTTGAACCCAGAATTTGACGAAATATTAACGGTATACAGACGAATTTCATTTTGATAGACTGACAAACTTTGTTTCCTCTGACACTTTTCGTATTCTCTTTCCAATCAACCTTTTTTTCCTCTCTTTCTTTCTTTTTTCTCTAATGTTCTTGGAACTGTTGCTGCATGCATGTCCTAAGCTCAAAAGCATATTATCAAAATATTCTTTCTCTTGTGAATTAGTTCAAGGTCGGCTTCGATGAGATGTTGACCCGCTCTATTTGGTTGACAGTATGGAACCACGACCGGTTTGGCCACAACGACTTTCTAGGAGAAATCATCTTTGCTTTAGAGTCATATGAACAGTCTGGATTTTCATGGGACTACCCGTCTCCTGAATGGTATCCTCTTCAAGAAAGGGTAATTTACCGATTTTTTCCCATCACGATGCAAATCTCACTGATTGGAGGAAGCGGTTGACATAAGTTGCTGGATCATAGACCAATTCAAATTCGTTAAATTTAGGGTAGTTAGACCTTTTTTGCTTTCGTTTGAAATACACTTTTCATTTGTGTCTTAATTTTATACGTATCCCGCGCTCCCAAGTAATATTCTGTTTATCATATAAGTACACATGAAAGCAAATAATGTCGCAAAATACTTTTCTTTTACTTCCAATATAGAGAAACGTCGAATGTGTTATTTTTAGAGAAATATTTCATAGAAAATGAACACTTTTATTTAGTATAACTATTTTAAATTAGCGCTAATTTTAGGAACAAGGGGACAACTAGGGGATGTCCAGGGAATCCCTAAGGGACAAGGGGATGGGAGAGGTATAGCATAGACCAGGGGACAACTAGGGGATGTCCAGGGAATCCCTAAGGGACAAGGGGATGGGAGAGGTATAGCATAGACCAGGGGATAGCTAGGGGATGTCCAATGCATGTTAGTCATAGTCCTTAGAGGACAGCCAGGACAGCAAGTGGGGATAGGGCACAGTATAGGCCAGTACTGGACATCCCTCCTAATTTTAAGTTTAGTGAGGTCGCGAAAGTGAAATCATAAAACTTCAAACTCAATTTAGCACGATAATGTCGGGTCTTTCAATCATTTTGGGTAGCAACGTTTCTCGTTTGTCAAATCTCCCTTCCCCATTCCTCCAGCTACCTCAATCATGCTTCATCTTTTATGTTAAAATACGTTGGATTAATTTTTACAGCGTCCCGAACCCTCACTGATGGAGTATTGTGGTGAACTTATTGTTGCTTTGAAGTACGTCCCGCCGGAATCCATCAAAGACAAGAAATCAAAGAAGAAGGCAAAGAAGGGTAACCTTTACGTAGCCATGGTCGAAGCCCACAATCTTCCCTCTAAGGATTCCAATGGTTTCTCTGATCCGTTTTGTAAGGCGTAAGTATTAATGAAGGCCCGAGTTTTTGCCCGTAAATCGTTCTGTTGTACAGACTAATATTCTTTGTATAGTATCCCCGAGCATCGCATATAATTTCTTATCAACAACCTCATAATAGTCTCCTTCACGGATACCTGCGCCATCTTGAAAGGTAGCCTTGCCTTTGCACCGAAGCGAGACGACCGTTGAGCGTGCAATGATAGATACCTGTGAATAATTGTCTATAGRTGTGAAAGAAGGTTTCTATCATTGCACGCTCAACGGTTGTCTCGCTTCGATGACAAGGCACTGCTACCTTTCAAGATGGCGCAGGTAACCGTGAAGGAGACTATTGAAGATAGCGGACTCATATTGACGTAAATATGATATTTTTCGTTTTTATGCAGATACCTTCTTCCAGACAAGAGTAGGAAAACAAAACGTAAAACCCCAACAATTAAAAAGAACCTAAACCCAAAATGGGAACACACTATTGTTTACGAGAACCTTACCCTCGAAGACCTGATGGACCGTGTTTTGGAGCTTACTGTATGGGACTGGGACCGAGGTATGAGTAATAGCTTCCTTGGAGGAGTTCGTCTTGGTATGGGCGCACGGCAAGAGGAATGGGACGATGCCGAAGGGGAGGAGATAGATGCGTGGCGAACAATGATTGACAACCCAAATGAGTGGAATAGATTCACCCTGACACTAAGGTCGAGTATGGATAGTCGTGTTAAAACTAAATAATTGTGTTGATTCGTAGCGTTATTTTATAAATGCAGTCAACTCTCACTAGAACCCCGATATAACGGACATCGATATTACTTATGCCTTGATCAGTCCTCGCTTCAAAGAAACTACTGAAAATAGCCCCCTTTACAGTGTCCACTCTCACTATTGCGTGATTTCATTACGGTCCACAAGACGTCGGTTGTAACGAGAGTTGAATGTATTTAGTTTAAACTTTGTCTTTACATATTTCACCACAGTCTATAACATTAAAAGGCTTTGCCACTATGGGCATTTTCTTGCGGTTTTCTCTCGATGAACTAAAGAACGAAAGAATATCCTCTTCTTAAACCGAATGTCAATATGGCTGCTTGTGTTTAACATTAATTTTGAAATATCATTATTTCAAGTTAAGGAATATCATGAAATGACTGTATATACTGATTCGCGAGTTTCAGTGACAACGTTGATTTTCCATGCGTAAGTGTTTGAAAATGTGGAAAAAACATCAAAACGAGACAACATATTATTAAGATACCGCATTATAAATTTGCTAATTTTGGATATTTGCGCACGAAACATTCAAATTATACAGCAGTTTCTTTGGTCGCTATTACAGATGAACGTATTGTCTTTTTAAACGTTTAACACCAAATAGAACAGGATACCAAGGAAATTTTTCAGAAATACACCCAAAACCCTATTTTAAACCTTAAATTATAGCTTCGACGATATATATTGGATGTTTAGAAATGAAACCTTCAAAATTTAGGCATTTTTGGCAACTCTTTCTTTAAAAAAAAAAATATTTCTGATTTTCGTAACCAGGAAACGGCCATATTGTCATAATGTCCATCTGTAGAGCGGCTAATTTGTACACTTGACTGTCAATAAATGAATCACAATGATCATTCAAAAAATTCAATAATTAATTATTGTATGTCAATACAATACTAAGTATTTATTAAGGTGTTTATGTTTCATATTTAGAATATAATGAGCTTTCTATTTAAATAATGGGCGCATTGGACAACACAACTTTTGCCTATAACCATCATATGTAATCTGCTCAATTCGTCTTTACAACATCGCTAAAACTGTCGAAGGAGATTCAAAATGATTGTTTAAAGGCCGAATTAGACGACACGACTTTTGCCTACGACCTTCGCATTTAACCTGCCTAAGTCATCCTTGCAACATGTTTACAACGTGCGGGACTTATAAGCAATTGTTGTAAATCCCTACGACAGCTGTACCTATGTTGTAAAAGCATGACTTACGCAAGTTAAATGCGATGCTTGTCCCGTCAAATTCGGCCTTCATACGGTCCTACGACACTTGTAACAATGCTGTGAGAATGGCTTAGGCATGTTGCACACGATTGTTGAAGACAAACGTTCTACCGTCTAATTTGGTCTTAAGATAACAAGCGAAATATACTTCAAAACGATTCAGCATTCAAACATTCATCATACCTTTAAGGCAAGCAACTTATTCGACATATATAGTTGCACATTAGACAATTTTTGTATGCAAATAATGGATGTACTATTTTGATAAGAGAAAGCACTAGTTTATGTATAAATACAGATATTTTGGTTCGAAAAAATAACGTAAAAGCATTTTGATTCTATTTTGGTAAAGTTTTGTGAGAAAATGAAATAAAAGGTGTTTCCATGGTGTTGGTTTGCATTTCGTTGTTTTGTTTGTTTATTTTGCTTGCAGTAATTCCAAAAAAACTCTCAAAAAGTGATTAAACAACTCTAAAAATCAAAACTGAAAAGTAAATTGAATAAAAAATATCCACAAAAAAATTAATAGAATAATACAAAAAACAAAGCAAAGGCTAAAACAAAACAAAACAAAAAAACACACAAAAAAATATAATAAAGGAAATGGCACTATATATAAATTCATGCTACATAATTTTTTCTTGAAATATTAAAAAAAATAGCAATCTGCATTAAGAATCTAAAAAAAAAAATAAAAAAAAATCAATTAAGGGAAAAAAAACTTATGCCTTATTACGGAAAGTTAAACTAAACGGATAGACCTATACCTTTCTGGGAAAATGTAATACATTTAACTTAGCTGTCGAAAGACAATAAATTATATCTTAAATTCATATTTTGATACCTAGATTTCAATCGATATCACTTTTAAAAATAATTGAAATAATTTAATATAAATTGAATTCCTTGACGATGAACTTTTTTAATGGCAAGATGTCGATAATTAAGCAATAAACAACACATTTTCGTGCGTTCCTGGTGAAATAAACCACGCGGTATGTTGGGAAAACATGAAAAAGGCGAAAAAAAATCTCGAGCCGGATGCGAGAGATTTTCAGTTTTGAGTGTTTTCCCAATAATAAGTGGCTTATATCACCAGGAATGCACGAAAATGTGTTGTTTATTGCTTTTATATTATAGCATTTTCGCATCCGTGTTCTTACCGGTGAAATAAACAATAACATTTGACCATTCAGAGAGCGCGTACTATGATAGCTATAATTATATAACAAACATTAAAATCTGCTTACAAATAATTTAAAACTTAATATTTTGTGATAAAACTAAAACATGATAATTTTAAAAGAGAATATCGTTATAGTTGCATTTCATAGCCATTACTTTGACCTGAACATCCCATGATCTGCCAGAGGTCTTCACCGCTTAATTTGATCGAGGTGAGTTATATGTAGATGTAGGCACCCAGTGATCCACGCATACATCTAGGACTACACTGACATTCGTCTTTACTGGGAAAGAAAAACAACGGAGTACCCTAGAGAGAAAAAACTGTCGAATGGAGGTACAAACTCAAGCCGGGACTACGACTATGACTAGGTTGATCAATTAAGTAGATGAAGCGATGGTACGTATAGGTCCTTAGCTGCATGTAACCGGAACTTCTATTTATCCCATTGCACTACGACGTCACATCAAAACATTGTATTGTTTTAGCGCTAAGAAGCCAGCAGAATACGAGAGAATGACAAGAAAACATGGGAAAAGGCGATGAAACAATTTTGATTAAATTCTCACTTCCATCCGCCGAGAAACTTTATCGATTTTTTTTTAATTTACTTTTTAAGAAAGGTTTGTTGTTGAAAGTTGACTTTCATGAAAAAATGCCTAAACTCCTGGAATACTACTTTATTCTTAATAAAATTTCACGTATCAGAGTATTGCTTTTTAAATTTTGAATTGAATTAAACGTTCATTTAAAAAAGAAGTGAAAATGCATGAGACAATAGGATCATCCGTCATTCCCCTGAGCCTCGTCTTTAATTTTTGCGTGGTTACTCAGCCAGAACATCGAGATGGCCTGGGGCTATGGAGAGCAAATCTCGCAACCTCGTTCCCAGGGCCATCACGGACTCCACAAAATGGCCGGTCGTCCAGCGATGACCCTGGCAAACACTGAACTAAGGCGCTTTGTGATTGGCTGATAAAGACGTCATTCTTATACCGCTTGCCATTGGATGTTTATTTTTAAGATATGTTCGGCTATCAATCGGGGTTTGTTCGACCAAATTCGACCGTTATTTTGAATGCGTCCAATTTTCCGAAGAGTTTGATGTCCGTTTTATTGATCAAAAGGCAATAATACCTGCTGCTTCAAATTCACGTCAGTTGTCTTTTCGTGTGTTCTTTATCTCATGCATGCTTTTGAGAAGCCAGCCGAAGGTGTAAGTAATTAAACCCGGCCGATATATTTACTGTATTTTAGCGAAAGCGTTGAATTTGAAAGTCTTCTACTCGGCGCTTAAATCTACAGCCGCATTCTCTTTCCAAGAACCCCTGAGGACCTCTAGAATGACCTGAAACTACTCCTTTTACTTATATTGCCGATTGAATGGAAATTATGAAATAAAAAATTAAGTTAAAATGTTTTTGTTCAGTCAGATAAACAAAATGTCGACCCACCACAGCTAGCCCGATTAAAAACGTTGGGTTTACGTTGCGAACACATTTTTGAGTAGATTGACACGTGATCAAATAGTCCATGAATTTTGGACTATTTGATCACGTGATAATCAGTGTTTGCCAGGGTCATCGCTGGACGACCGGCCATTTTGTGGAGTCCGTGATGGCCCTGGGAACGAGGTTGCAAATCTCGAGCCTAGAGTATTCACGGATATGTCAGCGGTTGTGACGCAAGAAAGATTTCGGGGGAATTTGTTGCAGAATTTTTGATGCTTTTCCGTCGCAAATTATGAGAATTAGGTAATTTTTGCTTGCCGCTTTGGGGAATTATAAAGTAAATTATCAAGTAATAACGCAACCCTCAAGAGTCTGTCACGCATTCACTTCCGCTGGATGGCAAAAGTGCGGGATCTGGGTACGATATTGTGGAAGTTCTAGTGCATTTTGCATTATTTAACAAGTCATATGTGTGAATAAAGCAACTTTTATATCTAAGCTTGTTGAAGAAACAATTAAAGATTGATAGCATGATAGGATAAAGAGATATTGGGCTGTAAATCCTTCATACAAATAATTAATAATACCGATGTGTTAAATATATTTGTAGTTTGTGTACGAGTGCATTCTCACCACAAGAATCATTTTTTCCTCGTTTTCATCAATTGAATTCTGTATCTGATAGTAGGACGAACGAGGAGAGTTACTTAATCAAGTGACGCGTTATGTCATGTGAGCGTGTTGTATGTGATTGGCTGATTAAAAATAGATCTTTTCCTTATCTAATCTACGTAAGGTTATTGCTGAGAAGGACAATTCTAGCTATTATGGACTTCTGCAGTTATATAATTTCAAAACCARCTGTTTTGAGTTTTGAATCCAAGTGTCATCGTTTTTCATTTTCTTCAAGAAGATCCGAGTATTTTCATTATGCTAATTTGTCTATGAGGATTAGAAGCCAGCAAATTATCTCAATCACCAATCTTTTAATTCATTATAATTTAATGAATACAGCCTTTTTATTGGATGATCCTATTTTTCATTTTTTGTATTGA